GCTGGCAAGCAGCTGGAAGATGGTCGCACCTTGTCCGACTACAACATCCAGAAGGAGTCCACCCTGCACTTGGTGCTGCGCCTGAGGGGTGGCATGCAGATCTTTGTGAAGACCTTGACTGGGAAGACCATCACCCTGGAGGTTGAGCCCAGTGACACCATCGAGAATGTCAAGGCCAAGATCCAGGACAAGGAAGGCATTCCCCCTGATCAGCAGAGGCTGATCTTTGCTGGCAAGCAGCTGGGAGATGGTCGCACCTTGTCCGACTACAACATCCAGAAGGAGTCCACCCTGCACTTGGTGCTGCGCCTGAGGGGTGGCATGCAGATCTTTGTGAAGACCTTGACTGGGAAGACCATCACCCTGGAGGTTGAGCCCAGTGACACCATCGAGAATGTCAAGGCCAAGATCCAGGACAAGGAAGGCATTCCCCCTGATCAGCAGAGGCTGATCTTTGCTGGCAAGCAGCTGGAAGATGGTCGCACCTTGTCCGACTACAACATCCAGAAGGAGTCCACCCTGCATCTTGTGCTGCGCCTGAGGGGTGGTAACTGAACTGGCTGGCTGTTGCTTTCCTCCAAATAAAGGCTTCTCTGCACTTGTTCATTACAATAAAGCTGTTGCATCCACAAAAGCTTGTGTCTCGGCTGATCTTTGCTGGCAAGCAGCTGGAAGATGGTCGCACCTTGTCCGACTACAACATCCAGAAGGAGTCCACCCTGCATCTTGTGCTGCGCCTGAGGGGTGGTAACTGAACTGGCTGGCTGTTGCTTTCCTCCAAATAAAGGCTTCTCTGCACTTGTTCATTACAATAAAGCTGTTGCATCCACAAAAGCTTGTGTCTCGAGTTACATGAACAACTATTCATGCCTTTAACCGAATCTAGCTATCTAATAAACAATAGTTTGACAGCTTTTGTATACAAAGGTGTTGCAAAACTGCCTTATGCAAGGCTTACATAGCCTCACAAGTGCGGCTAATCCTTCAGCTGCAGTTTTCCTGAGATTGTATAAGCATCCTCAGAACTGGCTGAAGGTCCGTGCCAGTCTGCAGATGTTCTGCAGCTGTTTGGTTGTACTAGCATGCATACATAATGTGAAACAATAGGTTATGAGTTAGGAGAGCTTGATAAAGTGCCCAGCTATTGCCAGGTCATGTCCCCGGTGTTCTGCAGTAACAGAAAAACAGGAAAAGGGCAGTGCTGCGGTTTGGTGGAAGGCTGGCAGCCTGCCCCAATTGTCCCACGGCTGCCTGGCGGGTGGTGGGACTGTCACTGCTGGTCCCTCGGCCTGTGCTTGTGAAGTGTCCTGGCTGCTGTGGGTCTCTGTCACCCAGTTACGGGCGAGGCTTCAGCTTGCTGGGAAGGCGTAAGCACACTGAGCAAACTTTGTCATTTCAGCTGTAGTGCTTTGGAATGCGCTTGCGTTCCGGCCTTGCACCGAGTGGAAATCCCGCAGGACTGATGAGCTCACACGGGTGCCGTGGAGCGGTTCCCGTGTGCTGCACAAGCGCTGGCCCAAGAGAAGTCTCCGCTTTGCGGTGGAGTGGAGGTTGCCGAATGTTGGAGTTCCTGAGCAGTGAACCACACGGAGTCGGGAGGAGGCGGAGAAATAAAACCCCAAAACTATGCTTTAGGAGGGCGGTGGTGCGATGCCTTTGGCAGGGCGTGTGGCGGGGGTTGGGGTTTCAGCTGATTGCTGAGCTCAGCAGGACCTGAACTGATCCTGCGGCATCCGCGCCGGAGGGGTGGGCTGGCAGGGTCTGGCTCGAGCGACGCCGATCGCTAATTACTGTGGTGAGGAGGGGAGGAAGGCGCTCTCGGTGCCTTGTGGGCTGTGAGGAATGTGTTGGGACGGTGAGCTGAAACCTGCGCCGGGGGGGAGCTGCTGTTGGGGCATCGATGG